GGAAGGAAGGAAGGAAGGAAGGAAGGAAGGAAGGAAGGAAGGAAGGAAGGAAGGAGGAATGTGAAGGAGAAAGAAAATAGGGGAAGGCCAGCATGCATAAAGTTGAATTCCTTAAACATAATTTGTATCCCACCCTTTCCGTAAATAGCTTGTGATAGTGCTCAGGGGCATTAACCAATATTTTATTCACAGAAACTTTGTGAAGTTTTTCTGAAAGTTATTACCAAAGAGATAGCTTAAACTCAGGTTTCTAATATGCAACAGTCCATCCGTTAAGCAGCTCTGCAAATATTCAAGATGATGGAAAGGCCCTGAAGCTGTTGCCTCTGGCCTCCAGATGACTTAAAACTGCTCTTCCCAGAATTCTTCACTTGTGCGAGTGAAGAAGATAACGTGGTAATAGATGAATAGTTTAAAAGAAAGTGCATAAACTGCAAATGTGTGTGGCTTGGTGAAAACAGATGTTTCTGTCCATGTATGGTCACCCAGAGGATGCTGGTGAGCAAACAAAAGTACATAAAAGGCTACAGGAGTGAAAAGAATTTGACCTGCTTCCTTTTTTTTACATTCAGAATATTTTTATATCATCATCTGATACATTGATTCATATTTATTTGCCTATCTACAAGCCAAAGTACCACAAAATACAAAACTAAAAGTAACAATAAAGCCAGCAATAAATCTTACAGCACTTCTAGGATTAATCAATGCATTTTATATAGGTTTCATAAATCACAATCTGATAAAAAAAATGATATCACCATAATAATAAAAACGCATTCACAATAAACAGTATTTTAAGCAGGGGGCACAGAAGTTTAAAGCAGTGCCATCTGCCTGAACTAGCAGTAAAACTTTTCAGTGGCATTTAAAATACTGAAGAGAAAATGTCAAATCAACAGAAATCGGGAACTAGAAAAAAACCCAATTAGCCTATCAAATCCAAGGCAAGAGTACAGTGACAACTTAGGTACTGCAACCTGTAAGGGTAACAATTACTTGCCCGCAGCAGTTAAAGCCAAAGTGCTAAGTGTTTTGCTGTATGGTGTGCAATGTTGCACTTACAAGCACTAACCCATGTGTGCCCCCTGCTGTACAACCTAAATTTCAGAGAGCTGTACTCCACTTAGTGTACTTCTCTGGCTAAAATTTGGCCGTATGTCAGTTGAGGCTTGATTATAACTCTGCCGGTTGAAGTACTGGCTTCAACAAATTTGGGAGATGACTCTCTAGCCCAACTAGTTCACATGCAGATACCAGTCTTCTTGGAAGAAACAAATAATGGATGGCTGTGAGGGTTGTTTGCTTTCCAAGGACTGGACACACCACAGCATAACAAATCTGTACAAAATGCTTTATTACAACACACACCTTCCCCAACAAACAGACTACTGCTCTCCACCCATCTAGGACTTGCAAGGTGATGTTGCCATGTAAATACATCTTTAATACTCA